ATGACGCCTTATTTTGATTATTATATTCTGAAACACACTAACCCCTCTCTCTCCCTCTCCCTCTCTCCCCCTCTCTCCCTCTCTCCCTCTCTCTCTGTCTGCAGGAATGGAGTGATGTTGGTAAGTCGTTGCACAATCCCTCATTTCGCAATGTTTTCATTGTTTCGGCAGTCTTGAGTGTTTGACATGTCAACTGTAGATCTGTGAAAACACACGTCGTGCTCTCTTCATTGTGTGTGTGTGTGTGTGTGTGTGTGTGTACTCTGAACAGTCTCTGAGCGAGCTTCAGGTTTCAGTCAGCAGTTTCAGTGTTTAGTGCTACAGAAGAGTGTTCAGTATAATCAGGAGGAAGTTGACCTGGTGTTCAATATCTTTATGAAGAGTCTGTAATAACTGTAGTGACGAGCTGAACTATTAATACAGCTTTACAGCATCAGTGAGCTCTACAGAATAATCACACTTATTGACTTTGAGCAGAGTCGTCATCAGATATTTGAGCTGAACTGAGCTGAAGACTCTGGATCTGCTCTACAGCTGATAATACAGTAAATGCATGTGCTTAATAAAGAGCGCAGTTTCTGCAGGACGTGTCGTTTCTCTGGTTCACTGTTACTGTAGGAGTTGGTGAGGTGCTGAGGTGTTTTCTGATGTCAGTCACTCATCAGATCTGCTGTTGTGTTTCTGTTCAGCTGATCCTGCATCAGTCACTGTGGGCTGCTCTCTCATTTACATCAGCACTGTGGATCATTTCACACTGATTCTAAACACTGCTGATATTCACTGTATCGTGGCTGCGTGTTTGTGATGTGTGTGTGTGTGTGTGTGTGTGTGTGTTGAACAGTTGCTGATCTCCCTGAGCTGCAACTGCAGACGGTCCTCTTGGATCAGGAGGTGTGTGTTCGTGTTCGACTCTCCATCAGGCCTCTCTGTACGTACAGCATCATATTTATATTCATATTCATCATCTACATCACTCTTCATCTTCACTTGTTCTTCACTCTTTCATCCACCGCTCCTGTGTTCTTCTCCGTAGTGTCAAATGAAACACTGGAGATCATCTTCAATAACTCTGAGATGGGGACATCAGACACACTGACCATCAGGAGAAAAAACACACTGCTCCTGGTATGTCTGACCATAACATAACACTAACATAACCATAACATTAAAATAACAATGACGTAACACTAACACAACAATATCATAACATAACACTAAAATAACAATGACATAACCATAACAATAACATAACACTAACATAAGAATAACATTACAATAACATCCATAACAATAACATAACATAACACTAACATAAGAATAACATTACAATAACATATCCATAACATTAAAATAACAATGACATAACCATAACAATAACATAACCATAACAATAACATAACATGACACTAAAATAAAAATAACTGTAACATAACACTTAACATTACAATAACATAACTATAACCATAACAATAACAATAACACTAAAATAATAACAATAACATAACACTAACACAACACTAACATACCCATAACAATAACATAACATAACACTAACATAAGAATAACATTACAATAACATATCTATAACAATAACATAACATAACACTAACATAAGAATAACATTACAATAACATATCCATAACAATAACATAACATAACACTAACATAAGAATAACATTACAATAACATATTCATAACATATCATGACAATAACATAATCATATCATAACACTATAATAATCCTAATATAATACTAAAATAACCATTACGCTAACGCTAATCTAACACTAGCATTAGCATAGCCCAGTGTTTAGCATGGTAAAGCTGGTTCTGCCTGGTTCTGAGCCTGGATTGTAAATCTGTCACTCCTTCACAGTCACAGTTGTGTCCAGAGCTCTGCTTCATACAGTCACTCTCTCCAGCTGTTTCACTTCATGTGTGTTTGCTGGTGTGTTTGTCAAGACTGCATAAACGTCACGCTCCATCTGTTCAACATTTGCATCATATATGGGTTAGTGTTAGCTGCTCAGAGTTATTATTTAACTACAGCTGAAATCATAAAGCTCAGTCATGCTGCTGCTCCCTGGGCTGATTAATGAGCACTCCATGAGTCAGGAGCATGGTTTAACATCTCAAGATCACAAGTAAAAACATAGTAAAACATAGTTAGTCTTGAGGTATACAATTGATTCATACAGTTAATTCTGTGTGTGTGTGTGTGTGTGTGTGTTTTCTCCTCCTCCAGTGGAACAGCAGTGCTGGTGATCAGTTTTTTCAGCCGTACAGAACTAAACTCCAGATGAATGAAGCGAGCGCAGAGTCACAGCAGGCCTTCGTAAGTGATCGTCTGTGTGTGTGTGTGTGTGTGTGTGTGTGTGTGTGCAGTGTTTTTGACCCTGTTTCTGTCTCTCTGTCGTCCTCTAGTGGATCCTGCGCTATAACTGTTTCTCAGCTCAGTCTGGATCTGTTGTCTCAGTCTCTGCTCACAGAAATGACCAGCCACTCATCACAGCATCCCACACCGTCCAGCACACAGGTGTCCATCTGTCTGTCTGTGTGTGTGTGTGTGTGTGTTTGTGTGTCCTTTTTCTTTAAACTGGAATGATAAACAACTAATTTAGTATAATTTACA